CCACACCCACCCACACCCACACCCACCCACACCCACACCCACACCCATACCCACACCCGCCCACACCCACACCCGCAGCCACACCCACACCCACACCCACCTGCACACTCCCACACCTCACTCACACCCGCACCCACACGGACACACCCAAACTCCGCATCCTAGATTATCTTTTTTAGCAACACAACAGAATTTTGTCGGATGAGTAAGTAAGTGAAGTTATGTGCCGTCTTTGATAAAAGAATAATAGTATTTTTCTCCTTATATTTCACCTTTAGAAAATAGAGTTGGTTAACGTCAGGCAGTAAAGATAAATACTTAACAGTATCAAAGTCAACACGATAATAAAAACATTGATGTGATAAGAGTTTGTTTTGCAAAGCGGTTCGTCAAATACAACATGTGCCATGAGAATTGCAAAAAAAAAGCTGTCGAATTTCTGTCTATTGTGATTTCCGTGACTAATCTTGGTGAACAGTTTTTTATGTTTACATTAGCGAAACTGGCAGAACTTGACAATGACAAAGAACGATTGTTCTTCTACATTCTTTTGGGCGTCACAGGCGTGACACTCTTGAAAGCATTAACATCAAGTGAACGAAAACACATTGCCATTTCAGCTGTTATTGAAATTGGAGAAGTTATTGCCTATTATGTGATTTTCAAAGGCACTCTATATGGTCTGGTAATAAGTGATGTAGTGGATTTTAACTCCTTTTTACGAAATAATATTATGGTATTCGTAACTGGAATACTTGGCGCTCTTCAATTGCTACTCTTATTTATTTGCTTCATCTTGGTTGGAAAGTGTGAGGATAGCAAAACATGGAGTAAGCGTATTGGTGATTTTACAATAGGAACACTTCTTTTCCTTTCTCTTAATCTTCCACCGGCCATGTTTATTTTTCTTCAGTCAACATCTCGGTTTCGAGGCGTCTACTATGAAGTATTAACTACAATAAGTTTTTTTCTCGGAAGTGAAGTAGCTGAAGTATTTCCATTGCTTCTTCCAATCATGGAGAAACGGATTCAGTCCACTTTGGAATCTCTCACAACAGCAACACAGCCAAAGAAAGAGGGAGAATCATCGCAGCGGATGAAGAAAAAAGTGGACCAAGAAATTAGGCAGTTCTTTGTTGACTTTAAAGAATCGTTGCTTGACAATTACACGTCGATCTTTTGTTATTGGTTTGATTTTCTTTACATTTTCAATATTATTCTCCTTTTGCCGATTCTTTCGATCACCACGATTGTTTTTGCTAGTCAAGAATTATCCGACGGTAATCTGCCATCATATGATTATGGTTTATATATTTATTCTCTTGTATCATACGGCATCGTCGTCTTGATGTATCCATTAATGTTGAGGAATATTTATTTGTACTGGAGTGGACCCAAAAGAACCGTACCAGCTTCATAACTTCAAAAGAACAATTTTGTTAAACTTCACATTGCCGGTTGTTAATCTATTTGAAAAACTTGAACCTACAATGCTTTACGGTCTAGTTCTTCAATGTGCAGAATGGTGAACTGATTCCATTTTCTTCAACCCTCTCATATTATGAAAAGCCGAATATGATTGACAGCAAATTGCATCATTCAGCATGTGAGTGAATGAGTGAGTCAAGCGTGGGCGTATGTGAATTTGGGTGAGCTAGATGTAGGTTTGTGGATGTGGAAGTGTGAGCGAGGTGAGTGTTGGTGTAGGTATGGGTTTGTGAGTGGGTGAACACAGTGGATAGCCATGCAACAAAATCGGTTTTCGAAATTTGAGTCTATATTAAATCTAGCCCAAAAGCTACTATGACATTGCCCTTAATCGGATCCCAGATTCTACTTTATAGCGAGGTCTGCTAAGCTGCAGGTACTATAAACTATGTCAAACAAGGGGGAAACAGCTGATTCTTTTGATTTAAATCAAAACAAAAATCAAAAAAATCAAAAAAATCAATGAAAATAATGTGGTCAAAAAAAATAAACTCCGCGCGTAAACTCCAAATTTGGAGCTCACCTACGCGTCCATATTTTACCATAATCTGCAGTCTACGTTTTCCATCAAGGACTCTCCTATAGGGGTATCCATAGATCCTCAAGGGCTATACTATAAGGGTACCCATAGGTTCTCAAGTCCTACTATTAGAGGGTACCCTGGGCCTGGGGTCCTCAAGTCCTACTACTAAAGGGCACCTTGGGGTCCTCAAGTCCTACTATTGGGGGTACCCTTGGGTCCTCAAGCCGTACTATTAGGGAGTACCCTTGGGTCCTCCAGTCCTACTATTAGGGGATACCCTGGGGTCCTCCAGTCCTACTATTGGGGGTACCCTTTGGTTCTCCCGTCCTACTATTGAGGGTACCCTGGGGTCCTAAAGTCCTACTATTGGGGGTGCCGTTGGATCCTCAAGCCCTACTATTTGGGAGTACCCTTGAGTCCTCAAGAGCTATCCTATAGGGCTACCCATAGGTCCTCAAGAGCTATCCTATAGGGGTACCTGTAGTTCCTCAAGCACTATCCTATAGGGCTACCCATAGGTCCTCAAGAGCTATCTTATAGGACTACCCATAGGTTCTCAAGAGCTATCCTATAGGAGTACCTGTAGTTCCTCAAGCACTATCGTATAGGGGTACCCATTGAGCATGCACCAAACCCGGGTACGATCGGGAATTCTTGGGTTCGGTCATTTCCGGGATACCGTGTTCCCGGGTTCGGTCATTCGCAGCGTTCGGCCATTCCCGGGTTCGGTCATTACGGAGTTCGGTCATTGGTAGTTACCCTTGGATCCTGAAGTCCTACTATTGGAGAGTACCATTGGGTCCTGAAGTGCTACCATTAGGGGCTACCCTTTCATTTTGAAGTCTTACTAATGGAAAGTACGCGCGGGGGCTAAAATTTTATCTTAGCTCTATCGATGCCTTTGTAAGGTCCCCTGCATAGGAGTTCCTTCGGTCCTGAAATACTCTTGCGCATCAGCCTTCTCTCCTGAATTGGGACTATTGGATTACTTAAGATGCTGATCTGCTACTAAAAGTGGACAGAGAGTTATACTCAGGTCGAGCATTACGATAACCAGATATGCCTGTATTTGGCCGACGCTTTCAAGATGTCCTTACACTCTTACTAATAGAACAACACATAGGTATGTTCAGGCTGATGATAGGATCATCGTGGGTACTATATCAATTGATGAGTACATGTAGGGGTCCCTAACCATCCCAACGCTGATAAACAGGATCCTGATATTTGATTGCTCCATAAATGGAGCAATCAGATTTCAGGAGGGCCTTTTTCCCTCATTGTACGGACTAGTGATGGGATTTTTCGAGCCAATCTTAGGGTTATCGAGCA